AACCTTGATGTCGTAACATACTACCGCCCCAGGTCTCCGACTAGCAAACACTTTTTTGTTTCTCATAATTTTGCGCTGCTTATAGCAAACACTTTTTGTGCATCCTTTCACCCAACTTACAGCGCAATAACCAGATCAAAACACTTTTTCCCTTCCTTGCTAGGGTCCTAAATCGTAATACCTTAATGAAGAAAACGCGCTTTAAGTATACCGCACTGCAATAATGATCCTGATTGCACGTGTCTGTACAAAAGGGGCATCGTGATATTCTGGATTTTCAAACGGAGATTCGTTCTCGTAAGGACCACTCGGAGACCTCGTGCCGAGGCCTGGCCATAACTAACTTTACGATCTTTTTCCAAACTGCCAGTATTCTGCTTAGAAGCATTCCGGATTAAAGTACCCTCTAGGTGCATCTAATATGCTGAAGTGTATGTCTCATTAAACGACTGCACAGTTAAGTATTATAACGACGTAATTATTTTTCGCGGTGTTTTGATAAACTACCATTATTTTGACAATATCTCTTTCCAACCGGATTCCAGACTTTAGCTCCTTTTTCTTCTGACTCTCCATCAAGACAGACACATTTGAAATCGACTGTTAGGGATAGTTTCCCTCTTTATTTTTGCAAATGCTTGGTATGAGCTAATTTCTCTTTAGCATATAGCTTTAGGAAGATGTAAATGTATAACTTGATGTGCATAGTTTGACAGGTCTGCAAAATAACTTACGACAAGTGAAATACATTCAACATAAGAAAATTACTCCACAAAGAATAGATGTTCAATTTTTAAGATACGTACTGCCGGTGCCCGTAATTGCCTATTTGGAGAGCAACAAATTGGATGATGATAAGCACATTTGCTTTCCCAATTTTAGATTTTAATACTCAAAAATAACGATAATTCAGTTACACTTAATTGAACGATAATTCAATTGGTTAATTACAAAATACTGGCGTTTGCTGTAACAAGCAATACCTTCCAGACCTTAATAATTTATTTTGAAGCCTAGCTTGAATTCAGAATTGCCTATAAACCCCATTGTACATTACCGCTCTAACTTCTGCAAAAAAAAGGATTCACATAATTCGTCGCAAGGATGGCTTCGTCAT